TGCTGTTGAGGAGAGAAAGAGACATACTCAATCTCATGAGCCTTAGGTGGCTGCCCTCGTGATGGGGTTAGCAGCAGCGGGGAGAGAGGGAGGAGGCCGGGTGGCTGAGGGGGGAGGGGCTGCGGGACGCAGGGTGACGTGATGACATCACTCTGTGGTCCCGCAGGAAAAACCGTTTTTATAGGTAGAGTAAGATTTAAGGACTAACAGTGCCTCCCAGCTCGGAGGAAATCACGTAGTTGTCAGAAGCTTCCACAGGTAGCAGAGTTAGTCTGTACAGGCTCTGGGGAGGCCACATCTAGAATAGTGTGTCCAGTTCTGGGGCCCCCCACTATAGAAAGGATGTGGACGCATTGGAGAGGGTCCACCGGAGGACCACCAGAATGATGAGGGGGCTGGAGGAGAGGCTGAGGGATTTGGGTTTGTTTAGTCTGCAGAAGAGAACAGTGAGAGGGGATTTGAGAGCAGCCTTGAACTTCCTGAAGGGACGTTGCAAAGAGGATGGAGAGAGGCTGTTCTCAGTGGGGAGGGAGGGCAGAACAAGGAGCAATGGGCTCAAGTTGCCGTGGGAGAGGTCTAGGTTGGATATTAGGAAAATCTATTTCACTAGGAGGGTGGGGAAGCCCTGGGATGGGTTCCCTAGGGAGGGGGTGGAATCTCCATCCCTAGAGGTTTTGAAGTCTCGGCTTGACAAAGCCCTGGCTGGGTTGATTGAGTTGGGATTGGTCCTGCCTTGGGCAGGGGGCTGGACTTGATGACCTCGTGAGGTCTCTTCCAGCTCTAGGATTCTAGGATAAACTTAAAAAACAACCAATGGTCTGGTAGCAGAATCCAATTTCTCCTTCGTGGGTCCCCGGTGCTCGGGGATCTCTCTGCCAACTAAAAAACAGCAAATAGTTTGATATCACTTTATAGACTAACCAAACATGGAGATGGGATCATGAGCTTTCATGGGCACAGCCCACTTCTTCAGATGACCGCACAATCCCGGTAAGAAGTGGGCCGTGCTCACGAAAGCTCACAATCCCATTTACAAGTTTGGTTAGTCTATAAAGTGCTATCAGACTATTTGTTGTTTTTTAGTTGGCAGAGAGATCCCCGAGCACCGGGGACCCACGAAGGAGAAATTGGATTCTGCCTCCACATCTATTCCAAACACCCATGGGGCCACAAAGTCAAGGAGCCTCAGATCTTGGTCTGCGTGGGTGGGTGACATCTGCCCCATGGACGGAGCTCATCCCAGGAAGGGAGGGGAACAGACATGAATAAATACAGACTAGGGATGTTCGATATCAGTTAATTGAATTGTTGATTAATCTCATGAATTCTTATTGGTTACTCGATTATTCTATAGATGGGGCCGGCAGCCAGTGGAATCCGGCCTCACTCCCGAAAAGCCCTCTGCCATTCCACACCGCTGCCTCTGTATCAGAGGCAGCAGCGTGGGGTGCCAGGCGGAAGATGGTCCACCTGGGGAGCCGGTTTAAAAACCAGCTCCCCTCATGGACTGGCTGCCTGTCACCCTATGCTACTGCCTCTGATTCAGAGGCAGCAGTGGAGGGTGGTAGCAACCCCTGTGGGGGCGGGGAAGACTGAGTTCCCAGACCCGACTGAACCGGGTTGCTGGCCAGCCTGCTAAACCATTTACTGGCAAGGTGGAGGGGAAATGTGTGTAGTCTATAGCATCAACCTATACGCTTTTGCTTATCAGTTAATCGCCTCTATACTGTTCCATCCCTAATACAGACAGGACCATGCAATGCTTCTGCTACCTCAAAAGATGCAGGGATGCCGATGAATTAGGTTTCCCTTGTGTTTCTGACTCCCCTATCCCACGGTTGGGGGAGTCTCTTAAAGAACCGGTTTCCCCTGAAATCAGAGGGTTTGTCTGCACCGCAGATGGGAGATGAAGTTCCCGGCTCGACAGACAGATGAATGTTACTATTAGCATCCAACCGCAGCAGTGTGGCACGGCAGTCAAGGGATGTGGCTTGGATTAAGCACCTGCATACAGCCCCGCTGGGGTGTACTCAGGTGTCCAGCACAAGGTGTTACATGCACTGTTCTTTTCAGGCGCTAACTCCAGCAGATCTAGAGCATGTAAATTTACCTGAGCTGGGAATCCCACCTCCCAGCCACTGTGTAGACGGAATCTATGGGATCAGGGAAGAATCTGCACAGAAGCCAAATGGTCACATCCCAGACCTTCCACCCCAGCTTCCAATAATTAAAGGACTAGGATCCCTTACCTAGCGAGGTCACCGCCTCGTAGTTCTCCTGCATGACGTCCCTGTAGAGGGCTCTCTGAGCGGGGCCCAGCAGCGCCCCCTGCCCCTGGGTGAAATACACAGCCACCTCCTCGAAGGTCACCCGCATCTGCAACAACAAGAGTCCCTCACCCACTGCCTGCAGCCCCAGCCACCATCCCAGTCGTCACGGGGAAAAAACACTGAAGCTCTGGGAGGGCGGAAGAAGGAGAAGGAGAACTCCTTGTCCCCACAGCCGATGGAGAAGGGCAGGGGCCTTCGTGTTTCTCTCTCACTTACCAGCAAGAGGCTGGTACAGGATGAAGTGTGTGAGGCTTTGACAAAGCATGGGATTTCCTTAATGTTTTATATGAACAGTGTGTGCCTCAGTTTCCCCTACATGTTGCACGCTTAACTAGCTAGCGGGACAAGGGAGTTTGATCTTGGTATCAGACTTTACGAGGCCGTCATCTGTCTGGCCGCTCTCAGAGTGGCCAGGCATTTTGTAAATTAGCAATAAATGGCTGGGGGGAGGGGGAGGGGGGAGAAGAGGAGTAGAAGGCTTCCCTGCAAGAAACCAGTCAACAAGGAAGATCTGGAGAACAGAGAGGCGGAGGTTGGCAATGTTCTAATGTCTTTCCCAGCAGGTGTGGAATACATTTTGCTACGTGCACCGAGGCCTGTGTGGATGTGCACCACCCACAAAAACACAAAACAGCTGTGGGCCTTTTGCCAAGCAGCTGGCCAGCACTGGACTCTCTCCGGGGGAGCCGTGGCTTATAGGGAACACTGGAGGACGGGGGCCAGTTTTGCCCCCCGGGGGGGAGGGGGGGGGGATACACACCCATAAAGGAGGGCAACAGGGTCTGCCCCAGAAGGACTTGTCTGTAACTTCCTGGCCACGCTGAGAAGAAGCCAGACTTGGAGAGGGGAGGGAGCAAGCAGGGCCCAGCAGCAGCTCACCGCGGGTGTGTGGGGGGAATTGTCCCGGCTCTGGCCTGGCTCAGGGGTTGGTGCTGGGGTCACAGTTTCAGATGAACAACCCCCCAAAATCCCTCCCCTCCATCTCAGGCTGAAGGACTTGTCTGTAACTTCCTGGCCACGCTGAGAAGAAGCCAGACTTGGAGAGGGGAGGGAGCAAGCAGGGCCCAGCAGCAGCTCACCGCGGGTGTGTGGGGGGAATTGTCCCGGCTCTGGCCTGGCTCAGGGGTTGGTGCTGGGGTCACAGTTTCAGATGAACAACCCCCCAAAATCCCTCCCCTCCATCTCAGGCTGATTTCTCCCCCCGCCTCTCTCTGCCAACCCAGCCCCAGGGATTCCCCCCCAGCTCAGCTCCACCCGCCCGGCGCCTGCCC